ATGGTGTCATATAGTCTGCGCAGGTATTAATCCTGCTATTTACATGACTGAAGGTATGAACTGTCAAATCGGCAGGTAGAGATGTTTAAATGGCATTATACGTGGAAGACAGATGATTGTTCCAGTTTGACGTAGATGGCCTTTTTCACACTTCCTGCTGTTCTTGGACAATCAGCATCACCTTGACACAAAGTAATTGCAAAACTGCTGTGTGCCAAGGAAGGTTTTGATTTGCGGTAGAAAGGTTTTGGGGATCTTGTGCTGTGTAGATGCTTAGTTTGCAGAAGCATGTGCTAGTATGATAGATATATAGATAGATAGATAGATAGATAGATAGATAGATAGATAGATGGATAGATGATTGGATAAATATCAGATAGCTAGATACCATTTGCTGATTTAATTTTTTTTTCTGTTTCAGCGTTCATGGAACAGAGCAGCTGAGGACTTGCAGCATTACAGACATGGCTACCCGGTAAGTCCTTATTCTAAAAGCCAGCCACACACCCAGGGGGCAAGCTTGTTCTTTAGGGACAATTAAATCTGAACTCCAGGCAGATATAAAAGACACAGATTAATGCAGCTCTGTAATTATTAATACATCATAAAATGTATTTTTAACATCGGGTTAGTGTATGTATCTGGATGTGATGGTTCAGCTGTGTACAGCAGAGCTTAAAATATAACTCCGCTTTTGTTGAGGAAAAAAACAATCCCCTCCGGATGATCAATGTACATTGGAAAGATTTTAAGAAACATTGTTTCAGATTTTTTTTTTTTTCTTTAAATCTTTATTTAAGAGTTTCAAAATACAAGGAAAACAAAAGCAAATCAGAACAAAACCAAAAACACAGGTTTAAAGTACATGAACAATATGGAGGACAGCCATAAAAACAGTGAGAAACATAGAATACGTACTGCACATCGGAAAGTAGAAAGCACAATGGTACAGGAGGTTATTGTGAGCTACGGGCATGGGTAGGGAGGCTAACAGAACCATCAAGGGGGAGTGGAAGTAAACACTCATGAGTATCCCTACGTTCCCACCCGCGGAAGAGCTCATAAAAAGACGGAAGATAAGAAGAAAAATAGAGGGAGGGAGGAAGGAGAAGAGCCAAATAACTAGCCAGTAAGAGTTATCCAGAGACTGGGAAAACTGTGAGGCAACGGCGGGGTAGAGGGCAATGTACAGCACATCACCAAGGGGAAGGTAACTCCCGGGCCGAAACACTAGGTGGGAATACTCTCAGTCAGAAACTGCAGAACCATATTCCTGGGAATAGATGAAATCTAACCAATGAAACCAAGTTTTACAAAATTTGTCTTCAGTATGATTCAAGGCAGCCGTTAATTCCTCCATGACACAGAGGTCCTCCGCTTTCTGCAGCTAAAGCCCCAAGGTAGGGGGGTCTGAGCGTTTCCAGAACAAGAGAATGAATGCTCTAGCAGCATTAACAAGATGGATAAAAAGAGAACGACGGTAGCTGGTCTTGGAGAGAGGAGAAAGATGAAGAAGCAAGGCTGCAGGATTATCCTCTAAGGAGATCCCTGGAAGCTGTTGAATAAAGCGCAGGACTGCACCCCAAAAATATCTTATGCGGGGGCATTACCTGAAAATGTGTAGAATCGTGCCAGTTTCTGAGCCGCACCTCCAACAAATCGGAGACTTGAAGGAGGTTTCCAAACCATGCCACCTAAATCCATAAGAGTTGGCAACCCATTGTGGGACCAAAAATGAGCCACCCTAAAGTTATACAATCGGAGTCATAGAGGAAGTAGAGGCGTCCGTAGAAAGCAAGCCCTGGACAGTTTAAATCACCAATGGTAGGGTGACTAACTCTTTGGGAAGGGGGTGTTTCAGATTTCCACCTGTTCTGAAGAAGAAGCTGTTTGTCTGACCATGTCCTCAGAAGCAAGAAATTACATTTCTGGGGGCATGCTATGCACCAGTTGTGTACACAGTGCCTCCAGGGAGAGCTTCACCTCATTCACTAAGCTAAGTGATAATTCCCTGGCAGAGTGCAAATTCACTTTAAGCATACATTCCTAACTCCCTTAGTAAATCAACTCCAGTGCGTAAAATGTATAAATCGTTTAATGAATATCTCTTTCCCATTAGAAAGAAATGGCCAACTTGATGTTCTACCGAAATGAGATGGCCTTTGTACCTAACGGTCAGTACTGAAAATACGTTGAATACATTTGTTGCAGCTGTCTTTAGCGATCAATACGATTGTCTCCTAATAGCAATACAGGCAGTCCCCAACTTACATACATCCGACTTACAACCGACTCCTACTTACAAACGAAGGTTATTACTGTACAGCAGGGGTAGTTGTAATGCTACTACGCTCCTGCCGACGAGTGCCCGCCTTTTTGGGTCTGGTTCGTAGTACTGTACGTACATTACAGGAAGTTGGCTCGTTAGACATGCAGACGAGGGGTGCCCGCCTCTTCTTCTGGGTCACTGTGAGGTTTTTATTGCTGTATGTATCCTCATTAGAAAGATTTAATCTCACTTCCTGTCCTTGAGACAACAGGAAGTGAGAGAAAATCAACCCCTAGGAAGGCAAATTCACTCCTGTAAGAGTTATCATGGGAAAAAGGTGTCTCCACTGAAGCTTTATGACCAATCCTTGTTTCCACGACAACCCAAAATTTTCAAAATCCAATTGTCACAGGGACAGAAAGTGAGGTGAAATCTTCTGAACAGGGGTACACAGAGCAAAACGAACGTTACAGGGGGTTAACCCTTCCCTATGCTATCCAAATGAAAAAAAATGTTTTGGCTGGAGTTACACTTAAAAAATGTACCTGTTCCAACTTACATACAAATTCAACTTAAGAACTAACCTACAGACCCTATCTTGTTCGTAACCCGGGGACTGCCTGTACAGACAAAAGGAGGAACTTCTTACTGCTGAGTGTTGTGTCTCTGGGGGTCTTGTGCAATGGCCCCACTTGCACCAGGCTTCACCATACAGGGTAAAGGCCATCTCTGTCTCCAGCTTGACATGTGTTCCCAAGTGGACATTGTTTTTGACATGTGTTCCCAGAAGACCATTATTTTTATGGAATGTATACACAAAGGTGCTAAGATCTCCTGTATTGTAAATGACTGTCTCATTAATCAATCTGAATCATATCGGTGAGACTGCTCCCATACAACAAAGAACCCCAATGCAAAGGGCAGGGTCCTAAGAGAAATTCAAGGCTTGGTCACAAAAGTAATGGCCAGTAGATTGCAGTAAGAGCACCGCACCAGTTGTAATAAAGTCTAACATACTTCTTTATTTATTAAAAACCAACAAAATAAGTAAGCCAACACATTTTGGGGGATCATACACTCCCCCTTCATCATGCTTCAAGCTGGTTCAAAAATGTATTACTGTATCTTAAAATACTTTTAACCCTTTTGAGGCTAGGCATTTCTGAAGTGACCTAATTTTAAATCCCTGAGGAAGGGGGAGTGTACGAGCCCCCGGAAAATGTTGACTTTCTTGTGTTAATTTGTAATAAATAAAGAAATATTCTGGACTCTATCACCACTGGTGTGATGCCCTTACTGCTATCTAGTGGTCATTATTTGTATGGCCAAGCCCAATACGGAGAAGGCAGCACTGTGCAGCAAAAAGATTTGTGGTCTTCATCTCAGTTCTGCATTGGTACTGGAGAAATTTGTGGAATGGGTTGGGAAAGAAGGAAAGATTATAAACTATACATTATGGATCATAGGACCCATGGCAAAATATCATTATTGAGCCTCTTTCCAGTGCAGGGAAGTCTACTTTTGGCCCAGGATCTGTCATAATTAAATATTATCCCATGGTAGTAATAACAGGGGACCATGGAAAAGTATGCGTAGCAGCCGCCATGATTGTTCGGGTTCTTTACCCTTCTGTAGCAGGGTCATGGGACCATTTCCCTCCCATGAACCCTAAGATAAAACCTGCAAAAAAAAAGTTTTTTCATAAGAGAGCAGAATGTGCGTAGGAATTAAAGTAAACCTGTCATCAGGCCATGTACTGAAAAACAATTTCATGAGTGTATAGTCAAGTGTTCCTGGGCACCTTGGTTTAGGTCCATGTGTCCATATGATGTTTGATATCCATGAAACTTATATGCAAATTTTGACTTTCCAAAAAGTCTGCAGCTGGCTACTCCCACTAGACTGTGGTATGTGCTTGTATATTATGACAGCTAATGGCTAGCAGAGTACAGCTTCCATCCACAGGTTATTTAAACAGCATAATATAAATGATGCAAAACGTTAGCCACCCCCCCAACAAGTTCTTTCTTATGATTTTGTAGGGGGCCCATGTGCACAAGTGACCCACTTACCCTCTAGAGCTTATTTATAACTCTCAGTGTATAGCATTGGCACAGCACTGCCGGCACTAGATGGCGCTGAGGAGCATAGCAATTCCTCGTCACCATCTAGTGGCCATAGTGCAATTCATACAGCATTCGACCGGCTGTAAATCAGCCCCGAAGAGAATGAGTTGACTGTACTCTGTGCTGCCCCACTTTGCTCTGTGTCTGCATTCGATCCTTGTTACAGAACCCTTGATGGGAGAGGGATGGAGCAGAATATCACCCACACTAAATTCCTGCAGAGATACTTTAGGTTTAGAACTTTCCTATTATATGTGGAGCATGCTGTAAAAGACAACGGTCGTTACTAAGCTTGTTATACATTTGCATACAGATCTCTGTATTCCAAGACTACAGTTACAAGTATGACCTGTTCTCTTTATCATATACAGGAGTATGTATAGAATATCTACACAAGAATTGGAAACATGATTACTACAAACTAGAAAGTAACCATAGCTACATCCAATGGTGAGTTTGCAAAAGGTTTCATAAATAGTGTGTACTGTATATGTGTGGGGTATGCTTCATCTTTAAAAAGAGTTCCGTTAAAGGAGAATTATGAGGTGAGTGATTTTCACTCAGCCTCATAATCTGAGCCGACCTGTGACAATGAAACTGTCACAGGTCGGCTCAGTAGATCGGGAAGTTAGCGAACACATACCGCCGCTTGCTCACTTCTCGATCTATCCGTGCAGAGAGCCGTGACTGTCACTCACGGCTCCCCACAGGGATTCTCCCCTGTCCGATCCTCCAGCGCTGACTGGCAGAACGGACGGGTGTGGGGCAGGTACAGCTGGCTCTGCCTCTGCCTCTAGATAGCCAGAGCCAGCTGTCAATCCCGCAGCTGGGTGGATCCAGACAGTAATGTCGGGATCCATTCCGGCTGCGGCGTCTCAGTATACCGCGAGCTACAGCTACTGAGCTTTGGGTGACGGGAGGATGCTAATTTGTGTCCTCCCGTTACCCTTAGGAGAACTATGGGGAAAAGCAATGACCCCATAGTTCTCCTTTAAGTGACTCAAAGGTTTTTTTTTTATAAGGCCAGCTGGACTCATGGCTTAGTGACCCGCTGGACTCATGGCTTAGTGACCCGCTGGACTCATGGCTTAGTGACCCGCTGTACTCAGGGCTTAGTGACCCGCTGAACTCTGGGATTAGTGACCCGCTGGACTCTGGGATTAGGGACCAGCTGGACTGAGGGATTAGTCACCCGCTGGACTCTGGGATTAGGGACCAGCTGGACTGAGGGATTAGTGACCCGCTGGACTGAGGGATTAGTGACCCGCTGGACTCTGGGATTAGTGACCCGCTGGATTCTGGAATTAGGGACCCACTGGACTGAGGGATTAGTGACCCGCTGGACTCAGGGATTAGTGATGTCACTTCTGGCCGGTTCAAGATCAGAAGAGCAGCGGCGCCGATGGGGCCCCAGCCTGCTCCAATGCCACTGGATCAGAAATGTTGGGGCCAGGCGCTGCTAGGTCCAGGCCGCCTCCTTGCCTGTCACCGTCGGCCGATACTCATGTAAGGGTCCCTGTTTAGGCCCCTTACATGAGTAGTGGCCGTACCCCCTGATGGCGGCCCTGCCCCGAATCATATATTTTTCTGAAAGGAGAAGCCCGGAGGAATAAAATGGTGGTAGCTGAAATTTTGTATGTCACATGATATTAGGGCAGCTGTTTCTAAAACCCATATATTTAGTAAAAATACACCTCAATTACTTTTAGTGCCCACAAACACAATGGGAAACCTTTTTTTCGTCAAATATACAAGATGGGGTTGCTCCAAGTAAAAAGATACCAAACATGTCATGCCTCAAAATAGTGTGCGCCATTGAAATGGTGAAAAACAACAGTACCCAAAATTCTCTAAGCGATACTTTGAAAGCCTTTGCAGATCATCAATTAAGAGTTAACCACGAATGACGACCCTAGTAATATTGCTCTCACTGTGGCATGTGTGGTGATACCTAATATAAGTGAAACAACTTATGTTTGTATGTGCAGGGGGAGCTTTAACATTTTGGGTTTGTTTTTGTTTTTTATTGATTTTAATTTTAATTTTTTTTTAAGGTTTTTATTTTTTTTATTTAACTCTACTGCTATCGCAAGAGGGGTGATAAGCTCCCTGTTTAAAAGCATAGTTCAGGTGACAGGTTCTGTAAGACCCCTAATGTCACCCCTGCACTCCACTAAAGGTAAATACGCATAGATGGTGCTTGATTAGCTTCTTCCCCAGCCACGGAGACCAGGGGCATGACAGTGCTAAACCTGGAAGTGCTCAGAGGGCATCGCTTCCGGGATCATACTAGCCATTGAAAATCAGAAAAATGGATGAGCTCTCCTTTGTGGCAACCACCATGGACATTCCAAGTACCCAAGAGGAGCAGCAGAGCCCAGAATATAAGGCAGGGGGGCATAGACTCTCAGCGGCTATAACGGTTGCAGCAGCTTTAAAGTACTTCTGCCCGTGGCAGCGAAAAGATTAAGAATGCCAAATAAAGAGCACCTCCAGGGAGTATGATGGGGGCATACCAACCGGGGTGTACCATCTAATCTCAGCTCTCATACCTAAATAACCCTTATAGACCAAAGCAATTTTTGCATTTCTCCTAAGGGCCTGTTGATTACTTAAGATATTAAAGTAATACATTGTTTTTTGGAGGAAAACTAAGCTTTCTTTTGCCAAAGTTGTCTTGGAGAAATAATTTTATTTTCGTTTAATCCATAGACATAAAGACATAATATCTTTTTAAATTTTTATTTTTTATTTTGACCATTGTTATTTTTAAGTAAAGCAGTTTAAAAAAAATAAAAAATAAAAAGCATACATTTTATCCTATAACTTGTCTCATTTAACGTGACACTAAAATTATGTTTCTGGAACAAAGCATGGCAAAATTCAGCACACGGTGGGCCATACACAGAGACCTGGCGGGTTGCATGTTGGACACCAGGGAGCTAAAGTTTTAGATCAGACACAACGATTACATCTAAATAGGGGGACATATCAGGAAGGCTGTACGATCCTAATGATGAAATTCAATTTCATGCATAAGCTCAATTATGAATTGTCATTAAAATCACAACCAACAAACAAAATCACAGAACTGTAGACTCATATGCCTTTCTATATATGCATCCCTTGCTGTATCCTATGCTGTAATTGCTCAGCAATCTTTGTTTTATTGTAGGCTGTTTCCACTGCAGGAACCTGGTATGAACAATTGTGCCGTGCCCCTTACAGAAAAGGAGATTGAGGTACCGGAATTGGTGCATAAAGTCAATTTGTGATTCATTCTTTCTTATGTTGCTGCTTTGCTAGAGGAAGGTCTAAGAGAGGGCCTTGTTCACTGTCTGATGGAGTGTTCTCAAACATACAGGTTGTGAATGCTGGAAATATAAACAGTACAGCTTTAGGCCTCATTCACACACAACACAAGAGCAAAATTGTATATTGCGTATATACGCCTATGTACGTGCGTATATGCGCTTATTTATACGCATATACGTGCGTATATGCGTGCACTATATGCAATCCCAGAATGCATCACTCGTAATGGAATTTTTTATGTGCTGTACGCGCGTATATGCGCGTAAATACGCAGCAATCTTTGCGATGTGCTGGAGAAGACTTTACGCAGAGGTCCGACTCTCCCATCATCACTACAAGATCTTGGTGAAAAATTCATGTAACTCTGGATGGAAATAAATGTTGTGACATTGCATAAGATTATGGAAAAGATGCCATGCTGAATGTGTACTGTAATCAAAGCTAAATGAGGTACAACAATGTATTAGAGTGTGTCACTTTTTTTTGGACAGGCAGTATATCGTCATTCAGCAGTAATTCGCCAAACCGTCAATTTAGCCAAACCATTCCTTCCATACTATGCGCCCCTACCTAACCTGCGAGAACCCCTCTCTTGCTCTGCTCCTGTTACGTTATCCTTGGCTCACTCCATTCTATGCCTGCATCTGTTTTAGGAGATGAAGAAAGATAAAGAGGTAATGAAGAGGTTCCTGGAGTCTTATAAACTCATGCTGGGATTTTATGGCATTAAACTAGAGGACACACAGACCGGGAAACTGGCCCGGGCAAACAACTGGAAGGAAGGATTTTCAAACCTAAATAAGTAAGTTGTAGGTTTCTGTATACGTAAAGATCGTCAGGCTCCGGAACAGCCTTCCTGAACCTTTTTAATACAGAACCCTTGAAATAAATACGTTTTGGCTCTCAGGGAACCCAGGTATTTAAAATACTATATCTATAGCTCTAGGTATATTGCCATGAACAGTGAGATGAGATATAAGAGTAAAATTAAAGAATAAGTAATGTGGTGTACTTATCTTTTTTGACACCCAGGGCCACTCTATATGACCAAAAAGTGTCCCCTTTCCTTGGTGGCCGGTGAAGTGCCCCTTACACTGTGGTCAGTGTAGTCTCCCCTTACACTGTGGTCGGTGCAGTCTCCCCTTACACTGGTGGTTGGTGCAGTCTCCCCTTACACTGGTGGTTGGTGCAGTCTGCCGTTACACTGGTGGTCGGTGCAGTCTCACCTTACACTGGTGGTCGGTGCAGTCTCCCCTTACACTGGTGGTCGGTGCAGTCTCCCCTTACACTGGTGGTCGGTGCAGTCTCCCCTTACACTGGTGGTCGGTGCAGTCTCCCCTTACACTGGTGGTCGGTGCAGTCTCCCCTTACACTGGTGGTCGGTGCAGTCTCCCCTTACACTGGTGGTCGGTGCAGTCTCCCCTTACACTGGTGGTCGGTGCAGTCTCCCCTTACACTGGTGGTCGGTGCAGTCTCCCCTTACACTGGTGGTCGGTGCAGTCTCCCCTTACACTGGTGGTCGGTGCAGTCTCCCCTTACACTGGTGGTCGGTGCAGTCTCCCCTTACACTGGTGGTCGGTGCAGTCTCCCCTTACACTGGTGGTCGGTGCAGTCTCCCCTTACACTGGTGGTCGGTGCAGTCTCCCCTTACACTGGTGGTCGGTGCAGTCTCCCCTTACACTGGTGGTCGGTGCAGTCTGCCCTTACACTGGTGGTCGGGGCAGTCTGCCCTTACACTGGTGGTCGGTGCAGTCTGCCCTTACACTGGTGGTCGGTGCAGTCTGCCCTTACACTGGTGGTCAAAAAAGTGCCTCCTTACCGTGTTGGTCAGGGAAGTGCCCCTTAATCATATACCCACATACCTTAGTAATTAGTGTAGTACCCTCTTACATTGATGGTCAGTTGGAGAAGTGCCCCTTACACTGGTAGTCACTGGAAGTAGGACCCCCATTACACTGGTGGTAAGTGAGAAGAATGCCCCTAACTTTGATGGCCAGTGGGATAACTAGTAGGGTGTCTGTTAACCAGAAGCGGTTCTTTAATTAGGCGAGTTAGGCGGCCGCCAAAGGCCTCACACTCATGGGGGCCTCGCGACCGCCTAATTCACCTGATCTACAGCAGAGGTCGGCTCCACACAGCATGCAAGGCTTTACAGGCAGGCACTACCCCATTCTTTACAGTTTGCAATTGACAGCTCCCTCAAGCTGGCTGTCAATTACAAGTCTGGCCACCCACCTCCTTGACATGCCTGAACAGCATAGGTGCTGAGGAGGCCCTTAACTCGGTCTGCTCAAGCTCTTGCCTGGAGGATCCCTCATTTGACAGCCCACTGGACAGAAGCTGGTTACCTGGCTGACCTGCCCGATGGGATGATTTACTGTTCCCTGCCATACTGGCCAACAGGCGGCGCACAGTGTACAGAGCTGAAGGATTGTCCCTGAGTATCAATGTATATATCACATGTCCTACAGTCTGCTGCTCACCCACCCAACTTTAGCTCTCATAGGTGCCCGGGAGGTTCTTTTTTTATCATGGGTGTAGGTGGGGGCCTCACGTTTGAGTTTTTGCCTAAGGCCTTACAAGGTCTAGAGCCGTCTCAGTCTGTAACTGCACCTGTACTGTAAATGGTAGATGAAGGCTGATATTTAATGGAGACCTTTACTAACAGAAATGTGGAAGGTGCAGTTGTTGACTACTCATTCTGCATATGCTAGTTACATGGCTGTCATGCTGGCTTTAATACATCACTAACTTAAAAGCAGTATAAAAACTTGAACTTCTGACTACTCAAACATTCCTGCATACTTGTTCGAGGTCCAGTGTTTCAGAAAGCCCTGAAGCCGGCATGTCCATATAACTGCCAGGCAATTAGCATTTCCAGAATGAGGTCAGCAGTGATGGCCCTCACATTTCTCTTGGATGCAGACAATCAATAGGATTAACGCAGTGGGGTTTTTTGTCCACTTCTTTTAACAGGGTGACAATATTATTATTATTCAGGATTTGTATAGCACCAACAGTTTGCACAGCCCTTTATAAAATAAAGGTAGATGGTATAGTTACAATACAATTGGTTAGGAGGGCCTTGCTCATCAGAACCCGCAATCTAAAAGGATGGGCGAGTGATACAAAAGTTAGTAACTGTGAGGAATGAGCTGATTAAATGAGTAGAGTTTTTAGAAGGAGGCAGGATGGGCTTTCCAGATGAGATGAGTTTTCAGGGACCACCTAAAGTGGGGATGTCCAAACAGCGGCCCTCTAGCTGTGGTGGAACCACGAATCCCATTCGGCTTTGCAAGATTCTCACAGCCACAGACATGACTCCCGGAGAGAGATGCTTCATGGGATTTGTAGTTTCACCACAGCTGGAGGGCCGGAGTTTGGACATCCTGAGTCCTAAAGGAAGACAAAGTAGGAGATGGCTGGACCGATTGGGTTAGAGAGTTCCAGAGCAGAACAAGGTTGGCATATTCAAGAATATTTCACAACTGTGCACCTTTCTATGCATATGCAAACTCTTGAGAATTCACATTCCTGGCCATTTTAATTTTCACTTTAGTGGTAGAAGTTCCAGCTTTTGTGAGCACAGATATACTATTTATGATTATTAAAAAGTTAAATTATGTATATTTTCTTTTCACAGTAACACACACAACAACCTCCGGATCACACGTATCCTAAAGTGTTTGGGGGAGCTGGGCTATGAACACTTCCAGGCCCCTCTGGTCAAGCTTTTTCTGGAGGAGACCCTGTGTCATGGCAAATTAAAGAATGTAAAACAAAGTGTTCTGGACTATTTCATGTTCACCGTAAAGAACAAGAGTGAACGCAAGAAACTGGTGCTCTTTGCCTATGAGAACTACACTCCACAAGAGAAGTTTGCCTGGGGACCTGTAGAGACACTCCAAAAACTCAGACCTCCTGCAGCTTCTCCTGTAGCAAAAAGCAACAATCAATTAGAAGATATGCAAAGGGAGAAGGAAAATATGGCAAACCAAAACAATGGTAGGTCAAATGATGACAACAAGGTACAGAGCAAAGTCACAGGATGTGAGCAAGGAAAAAAGACTCACAGGAATTGGCTTATGACATTTTTGAATTTGATTTTAGTGATTTTTATTCTGATTTTAGGTTTTTACTCCTTTTTCACAGGCCACAAGCAGAACAGAGGGTCAAAGATTGGGTTTGGAAAAGACAATGAGATTGATGGGTCACCAGGAAAGTTTGGGTTTGGAGAAGACAAGGAGAATAATGAGCTACCAACTGAGTTTGTTAAAGGTGAAGAAAAAGAGAACAAAGAGTTAGAAGAAAAAAAGAAGAATGAAGGTCCATTAACAGATTTAAGGTCAAGAAAAGATAATGGGAATGAAGGGCCACTAACGGAGTTTGGGTTAGCAAATGATGAAAAGAATGGAGATACACTAGAGGAGTCTAGGTCAAGGGAGAATGAAGAAAATGCAGGATCACTGCTTGAAATCCCTACTGATGGCAAGGAGACCAAAGGGACATCAATAGAGTGTAAGTTAGGAGAAGACGGGGAGAATGTGGGGCAAAAAATGGAGTCTGGGTTTGGAGATGACCGGGAGAATGTAAGGTCACTGACAGAGTGTGAGTTAGGCGACAACAGGCAGAATGGAGGGTCCTTAACTGAAGATGGGTCAAGAAGTGACAAAAAGAATACATGGTCACCAACTGAATCTGGGCCAGAAGGGACCAAGGAGAATGAAGGACCATCAATGGAGTCTATCTTAGAAAATAAAAAAGAGAAAGAAGAGTCAGTAATTAAGTCTGGGTCAGAAGAAGACAAGGGAAATACATTGTCACTAGCAAGTCCCGGGTCAGTAGATGACAAGGAGAATGAAAAGCCACTAACACATTCTGAGCTAGTAGAAGACAAAAAGAATGGAGAGTCACTTATGCAGTCTAGGTTAAGTATTAGTGAGGACAATGCTGGCTCACCAGTGGGGTCTAACTCAAGAGATGACAGAGAAGAGGGTGACTAGAGATGGGTGAATTGGTTTTCCCAAAAGGAGGTTTAACTATGAATGGGCATTTGTACAAACTCTTAAAAATCCACAAATTATGATGGATTAGCCAAGCAGAATGGCACATAAAATATACGTAACTGACTAAAGGTAAGAAAGTGAGGAAACCAATAGAGATTCCCTACCTGAATGATTGACAGGCTGCAGGATCATGTGCGCTCTGTCATTCATTTGGCATAATTAAGCTAATAAGGATATAGGGCATATTACATAACCATGTAATGATGAATGATGTAAAGTATTGTACATGATCACACAATTGCCTCAATGTGATTGCATTGTTCAGCTAATAAGAAAGTAGATCACTTTTTAGTGGGTTAGTGCTTTTCTGACAATTCGAATGGTTAGAAAATCCTGACCCGTAGGCAATCACTTATACAGGGAATCTGCAACACTTTTCTCACTTTTTGACCAAAGACCAGATAGTAATGAGGATGTGTGGGGGCATTGTAGGGGCTACAGACATGCAAGAATGGGTCTCTTGCTTTTCTCTTCTGGGGAGTAGAAGGATTCAGGATGACACATTTTAACAATCATGGAAATAATAAAAATAAAATTGTGGAGGGAATATTTACAAGTTTAAAAGTCTCTAGTGTTAGCACTGGGAATAATAGAATGGGGAATGGGGACTCAGGAAATATCAATGGCTTGAAACAGTTTAGAGAAGTTAAGAAATAGTAGAGCAGTAAAAAAAAAAAATGAACCCCGAGCATTGAAAGCTGTTGGAAAATTGGAAACTCCAAAATGAAAACATCATGGAGAAGACAGGAAATGCAATAAAAGCACATGGACAGTTTCATGACAATGGTCTTGTATTTTACCCTGCAGTAACAGAAGATTCTGTCCACCAACATCCTATGTGTGTGTGATGATGACTGTAATAAAATTTAAATAAAATGTAACTAAGAAACATACATTCCTCTTTTATGGAACGTCAGTAGCTTGGTGTCCATGTACCGAATGGCTTGTGATTCCCCATGTAGGAACAATAACACCCTGATAGGGCTTTTTTTCACCCAATGTCTACAGTATATTCACATTTAGTGTGGGCAACAATCCCCTGTAAGAGGCAACACATGAAATAGTGTCCCACTGGTACCGTGTCCCGACGGTCCTCCACACCATGTTTCCTCAAGTTCCCTCCGTGTGTTGGAGGTGTCGGAGTGCCCCAGGCACACTAATACACACTTTCTGGTCCTGCCCCAAGCTACTGCCGTTCTGGCGCGGGATAATTGGCATCCTGAAGGACCTGGTGATGGTGGATCTGACGGACAACCCTGCAGCCTTCCTGTTACATTTAAATGTCATGTCCATTGTGAAATACAAAAGGTCTCTGACTAGGCACCTCCTAAACGCTGCCTGCCCGCCTTTGCATCCCATTGCTATGGAAACAACCTAGCTGCCCCAGTCTTGGTCTGTGGTTCTCCAAGGGTAACGAAATGTACTTGATGGAGGATTTAACCTCCACGATTCGGAACAATGAGGAACTCTTCAGATCTACTTGGAGACCGTGGGCTGCCTTCCAAAACACTGATGTTTACCTTCGGGTGATGACTGCAGCATCCACCTGAACTCTACTAGGGACTTGTGATGTGCATGCCTGACCCATAACTCTACTACCCCCAACTAAAAAACTTACCCCTTACCCTTCTTCCTCTCGTCTTTCTCTTTGCTGCCACATTCACATCATACCTCGTCTTGCTCTTTGACGTAACGGGAAACACTTATCAATACACGTATCATCTATTTTTAGCAGTTACTTCTATACCTGAATCTACACAAGACATGGGTGGCACACAGTGCCTGACTCCGAGTAGTGTTAACGATACATGATGTAATTTACCGTTCATAATCTTTGTTGTACCAGACAAGGCTGTACTGACCCTACGTTGACTGCTTTTCTGGGATGGGTAGCCCATTAATGTTCTAATGTGTGAGATACAATTGATGTTAACCTTGTATCCCAGGTATGCACTGGTGATGTTGTTGTATATGTGAGGCCTGACCTCCTGTCCTACTGTGACTTACTTATGTACAATAAAGCTGATTTATGATTAAAAAAGAGGAAACACATGAACCATGTTATCCATTGTCTTGAAACGAACAACGTCAGGTAGGAACACGGCATCCACCAACAAAGTAGTGAAGAACCATGTACTATATATAATCTGCTTAACTGAAGCCCATAGTCAAGCCAACACATTTCTGAGATCAAAAGAACACCCCTCTTCATCGGGGCTACAAATTATGTTGTCGGTATCTTTCTCTAGATTTCAATTTTTTTAGGCCAAATATATTGAATACATGGCTACCACCTGGCTAATCCTTCCCTCTGGAAGGAGGGTACGGGAGGAAGGGAGAAAGAGTGGGTTGTAGGTTGGCTATCTTAGTTTAGATCAGGTTTTGCATAAACCATCTCCATAGGTTCTGGAGGCATACGCAGATACCTCTAGGTGGCTGGATTTACATTATACTACCAAAGTTATTACATTTAACACCTTCGTAACGTGTTGTGTTGCATGAGATATAAAACACGCCTCCCCTGCTTCTCACAGTGCAATGCTCCCTGCTTGTGTGGCTAGTTACCAGACCTGATCATGGGATTGGGGGGAAGGGGGCTACACAGCTCTGAGCAAGGTTAGACTTTCTGAACATTGAAACATGCACAGGAAATGTTGGGAGCGGCAGCCATGTAGCGGGATGTGTGGGAAAGGTCAGTGGTCCAGACATATTTTCAGCAAAACTCCCTCTCCTTTCTTTTCCCTCTCTTCTCCCTCTCCTTTCTTCTCCCTCTCCTTTCTTCTCCCTCTCGTTTCTTCTCCCTCTCCTTTATTTTCCCTCTCTTCTCCCTCTCCTTTCTTTTCCCTCTCTTCTCCCTCTCCTTTCTTCTCCCTCTCCTTTCTTCTCCCTCTCGTTTCTTCTCCCTCTCCTTTATTTTCCCTCTCTTCTCCCTCTCCTTTCTTTTCCCTCTCTTCTCCCTCTCCTTTCTTCTCCCTCTCCTTTCTTCTCCCTCTCCTTTCTTCTCCCTCTCCTTTCTTCTCCCTCTCCTTTCTTTTCCCTCTCTTCTCCCTCTCCTTTCCATCTCCCTCTCCTTTCCATCTCCCTCTCCTTTCTTCTCCCTCTCCTTTCTTCTCCCTTTCTTCTCCCTCTCTTCTCCCTCTCCTTTCTTCTCCCTCTCCCTTCTGTCTCTCTCTCTCCCTTCCATCACCCTCTCCTTTGTTCTCCATCTCCCTTCCGTCTCCCTCTCCCTTCCGTCTCCATTGCATTTCTTCTCCCTCTCCCTTCCATCTCCCTCTCCTTTCTTCTCCCTCTCCCTTCAGTCTCCATTGCCTTTCTTCTCCCACTCCCTTCCCTCTCTTTTCTTCTCCCACTCCCTTCCATCTCCCTCTCCCTTCCGTCTCCCTCTCCCTTCCGTCTCCCTCTCCTTTCTTCTCCCTCTCCTTTCTTCACCCTCTTCTTTCTTCTCCCTCTCCTCTCTTCTCCCTCTCCTTTCTTCTCCCTCTCCTTTTCTTCTCTCTCTCCTTTCTTCTCCCTCTCCTTTTTTCTCCCTCTCCCTTCCGTCTCCCTCTCCTTTCTTCTCCCTTCCGTCTCCATTGCCTTTCTTCTCCCTTTCCTTTCTTCTCCCTCTCCCTTCCTTCTCCCTTTCCTTTCTTCTCCCTCTCCTTCCTTCTCCCTCTCCCTTCCTTCTCCCTCTCCCTTCCATCTCCCTCTCCCTTCCTTCTCCCTTTCCTTTCTTCTCCCTCTCCTTCCTTCTCCCTTCCATCTCCCTCTCCTTTCTTCTCCCTCTCCCTTCATTCTCCCTCTCCTTTCTTCTCCCTCTCCCTTCATTATCCCTCTCCCTTCCATCTCCTTCTCCTTTCTTCTCCCTCTCCCTTCCATCTCCTTTCTTCTCCCTCTCCCTTCCATCTCCTTTCTTCTCCCTCTCCCTTCCATCTCCTTTCTTCTCCCTCTCCCTTCCATCTCCTTTCTTCTCCCTCTCCCTTCCATCTCCTTCTCCTTTCTTCTCCCTTCCATCTCCTTCTCCTTTCTTCTCCCCCTCCCTTCCAATCTCCTTTCTTCTCCCTCTCCCTTCCATCTCCTTCTCCTTTCTTCTCCCTCTCCTGTATATATATATATTTATTTATTTTTTAAAGACCAACCCGGCACCGTGCTCCCCTGCCTGGTGCTGCCCGGGCCCTGGCTCCGCGGCCCTGCTTCCAGCATGTCCCGGGACCTCGAGGAGGTGTGGAGTCCCGAATATGACTCCACCTGGGAAGAGGAGGAGAAGAAGGAGGCAGATGAGAGCCAACGGGGCCAGAGGGAACAAGGGAACCAGCAACAGGTGATGGGGGACCTGTCACTGTGTGCTGTATGAAGGCACGGACATGAGGGGTGCAGGGGACAACAATGAAGGGAGGATGGGTGCAGGGATTGAGGATTGGCTGCAGGAATTGGGGAGGAGGGATGCAGGAATTGAGGAGCCATGAGTAGGAGGGATGCAGGAATTGAGGAGGGATGCAGGAATTGAGGAGAGATTGGGAGGAGGGATGCAGGAATTGAGGAGAGATGGGGGAGGAGGGATGCAGGAATTGAGGAGAGATGGGGAGGAGGGATGCAGGAATTGAGGAGGGATGCGGGAATTGGGGAGAGATGGGGTGGAGGGATGCAGGAATTGAGGAGAGATGGGGAGGAGGGATGCAGGAATTGAGGAGAGATGGGGAGGAGGGATGCAGGAATTGAGGAGAGATGGGGAGGAGGGATGCAGGAATTGAGGAGAGATGGGGAGGAGGGATGCAGGAATTGAGGAGAGATGGGGAGGAGGGATGCAGGAATTGAGGAGAGATGGGGAGGAGGGATGCAGGAATTGAGGAGAGATGGGGAGGAGGGATGCAGGAATTGAGGAGAGATGGGGAGGAGGGATGCAGGAATTGAGGAGAGATGGGGAGGAGGGATGCAGGAATTGAGGAGAGATGGGGAGGAGGGATGCAGGAATTGAGGAGAGATGGGGAGGAGGGATGCAGGAATTGAGGAGAGATGGGGAGGAGGGATGCAGGAATTGAGGAGAGATGGGGAGGAGGGATGCAGGAATTGAGGAGAGATGGGGAGGAGGGATGCAGGAATTGAGGAGAGATGGGGAGGAGGGATGCAGGAATTGAGGAGAGATGGGGAGGAGGGATGCAGGAATTGAGGAGAGATGGGGAGGAGGGATGCAGGAATTGAGGAGAGATGGGGAGGAGGGATGCAGGAATTGAGGAGAGATGGGGAGGAGGGATGCAGGAATTGAGGAGAGATGGGGAGGAGGGATGCAGGAATTGAGGAGAGATGGGGAGGAGGGATGCAGGAATTGAGGAGAGATGGGGAGGAGGGATGCAGGAATTGAGGAGAGATGGGGAGGAGGGATGCAGGAATTGAGGAGAGATGGGGAGGAGGGATGCAGGAATTGAGGAGAGATGGGGAGGAGGGATGCAGGAATTGAGGAGAGATGGGGAGGAGGGATGCAGGAATTGAGGAGAGATGGGGAGGAGGGATGCAGGAATTGAGGAGAGATGGGGAGGAGGGATGCAGGAATTGAGGAGAGATGGGGAGGAGGGATGCAGGAATTGAGGAGAGATGGGGAGGAGGGATGCAGGAATTGAGGAGAGATGGGGAGGAGGGATGCAGGAATTGAGGAGAGATGGGGAGGAGGGATGCAGGAATTGAGGAGAGATGGGGAGGAGGGATGCAGGAATTGAGGAGAGATGGGGAGGAGGGATGCAGGAATTGAGGAGAGATGGGGAGGAGGGATGCAGGAATTGAGGAGAGATGGGGAGGAGGGATGCAGGAATTGAGGAGAGATGGGGAGGAGGGATGCAGGAATTGAGGAGAGATGGGGAGGAGGGATGCAGGAATTGAGGAGAGATGGGGAGGAGGGATGCAGGAATTGAGGAGAGATGGGGAGGAGGGATGCAGGAATTGAGGAGAGATGGGGAGGAGGGATGCAGGAATTGAGGAGAGATGGGGAGGAGGGATGCAGGAATTGAGGAGAGATGGGGAGGAGGGATGCAGGAATTGAGGAGAGATGGGGAGGAGGGATGCAGGAATTGAGGAGAGATGGGGAGGAGGGATGCAGGAATTGAGGAGAGATGGGGAGGAGGGATGCAGGAATTGAGGAGAGATGGGGAGGAGGGATGCAGGAATTGAGGAGAGATGGGGAGGAGGGATGCAGGAATTGAGGAGAGATGGGGAGGAGGGATGCAGGAATTGAGGAGAGATGGGGAGGAGGGATGCAGGAATTGAGGAGAGATGGGGAGGAGGGATGCAGGAATTGAGGAGAGATGGGGAGGAGGGATGCAGGAATTGAGGAGAGATGGGGAGGAGGGATGCAGGAATTGAGGAGAGATGGGGAGGAGGGATGCAGGAATTGAGGAGAGATGGGGAGGAGGGATGCAGGAATTGAGGAGAGATGGGGAGGAGGGATGCAGGAATTGAGGAGAGATGGGGAGGAGGGATGCAGGAATTGAGGAGAGATGGGGAGGAGGGATGCAGGAATTGAGGAGAGATGGGGAGGAGGGATGCAGGAATTGAGGAGAGATGGGGAGGAGGGATGCAGGAATTGAGGAGAGATGGGGAGGAGGGATGCAGGAATTGAGGAGAGATGGGGAGGAGGGATGCAGGAATTGAGGAGAGATGGGGAGGAGGGATGCAGGAATTGAGGAGAGATGGGGAGGAGGGATGCAGGAATTGAGGAGAGATGGGGAGGAGGGATGCAGGAATTGAGGAGAGATGGGGAGGAGGGATGCAGGAATTGAGGAGAGATGGGGAGGAGGGATGCAGGAATTGAGGAGAGATGGGGAGGAGGGATGCAGGAATTGAGGAGAGATGGGGAGGAGGGATGCAGGAATTGAGGAGAGATGGGGAGGAGGGATGCAGGAATTGAGGAGAGATGGGGAGGAGGGATGCAGGAATTGAGGAGAGATGGGGAGGAGGGATGCAGGAATTGAGGAGAGATGGGGAGGAGGGATGCAGGAATTGAGGAGAGATGGGGAGGAGGGATGCAGGAATTGAGGAGAGATGGGGAGGAGGGATGCAGGAATTGAGGAGAGATGGGGAGGAGGGATGCAGGAATTGAGGAGAGATGGGGAGGAGGGATGCAGGAATTGAGGAGAGATGGGGAGGAGGGATGCAGGAATTGAGGAGAGATGGGGAGGAGGGATGCAGGAATTGAGGAGAGATGGGGAGGAGGGATGCAGGAATTGAGGAGAGATGGGGAGGAGGGATGCAGGAATTGAGGAGAGATGGGGAGGAGGGATGCAGGAATTGAGGAGAGATGGGGAGGAGGGATGCAGGAATTGAGGAGAGATGGGGAGGAGGGATGCAGGAATTGAGGAGAGATGGGGAGGAGGGATGCAGGAATTGAGGAGAGATGGGGAGGAGGGATGCAGGAATTGAGGAGAGATGGGGAGGAGGGATGCAGGAATTGAGGAGAGATGGGGAGGAGGGATGCAGGAATTGAGGAGAGATGGGGAGGAGGGATGCAGGAATTGAGGAGAGATGGGGAGGAGGGATGCAGGAATTGAGGAGAGATGGGGAGGAGGGATGCAGGAATTGAGGAGAGATGGGGAGGAGGGATGCAGGAATTGAGGAGAGATGGGGAGGAGGGATGCAGGAATTGAGGAGAGATGGGGAGGAGGGATGCAGGAATTGAGGAGAGATGGGGAGGAGGGATGCAGGAATTGAGGAGAGATGGGGAGGAGGGATGCAGGAATTGAGGAGAGATGGGGAGGAGGGATGCAGGAATTGAGGAGAGATGGGGAGGAGGGATGCAGGAATTGAGGAGAGATGGGGAGGAGGGATGCAGGAATTGAGGAGAGATGGGGAGGAGGGATGCAGGAATTGAGGAGAGATGGGGAGGAGGGATGCAGGAATTGAGGAGAGATGGGGAGGAGGGATGCAGGAATTGAGGAGAGATGGGGAGGAGGGATGCAGGAATTGAGGAGAGATGGGGAGGAGGGATGCAGGAATTGAGGAGAGATGGGGAGGAGGGATGCAGGAATTGAGGAGAGATGGGGAGGAGGGATGCAGGAAATATGGGGAAGAGGGGTGCGGGAATCGGGAGGAGAGATGGGGAGGAGGGGATGCAGGAATTGGGGAGAGAGATGGGGAGGAGGGATGCAGGATATGAGGAAAGATGGGGAAGAGGGGTGCAGGAATTGAGGAGAGGTAGGAATGCAGGAGGCGGTTTGGAGGGATGCAGGAAACTGATAGAACTGGGAGATTCAGGGAATGGAGAGGAGGGTTGCAGTTGGTGGAAGGGAGGATGCAAGAATTGGGTAGAAATGTAATGATGGGTTGCAAGAGACAGAAAGGGAAATTGACAGAAAGTGTTGGGGGGGTTGTTGAGTATAAGATGGAGAAGGGAGGTTCCAATTACAGATCAGGCATGCGGATGGAACGCTTTAGGGGCTTGTTCACACAATGTCCAGACCAGAGAAATTTGTTACCGGACCAAACAAGCATCCCAATGTATCCCTATGGTATTTCTGGGCTCTGTTCACACCAGCGCAGTCCTCTCAAAAAAATACTGCTGCTCTCATTTTCTCTGGTCTGGAATGCACCGGAACGCATGCAGAAGCACTGGACTGCACCTTTATGACCATTTTAAGCTAAAAAAAAAAAAAGAATGCTGCAAAATCGCGGTAAAAACGCCTTAAAGGAGGGGGAGGGAGAATATATGTGCAAGGTTTACTCGTTGTGGGACTGTAGTTTCCTCCTCTTAATGAAAGCAAATCTGTAGACTTTTTTCATTCCTTTTCTGACGTTCTTTTCAACCTGAGCAGATTACTGCAAATAATGTTGTCGGCAGTAAAGAAAACCTGTCATGAAGAAGCTATGGAGGCCACCATGGCTTGCCTGCCCTGTAAGTGCTGTTGCCTGAATGCCAAGCTGACCCTTTTGCTTTAATTCGTTGACTACTTATTTCAGTCAAGGATTCAAAGACCTCTGACTTTCCATAGCTGCATTCTTGTTCTGGGTCAGGGATGTCATTGAAACCAGGGGATCGGCACGATGGCAAGGCAGGTAGAATTTCCAGAGGTCAGCGGTGGCCGCCTGTATGCCTGTATGTACTTTAAGAACCTCGGTGTACATTTTGTGGGTAAGTATATTATTTCTGCCTACTGTGGCCCTTACAAGTTCTGCGTCAGTTGTGTACAGTGATTGGTCTGGCTCCTCCTCTTTATCTCACTGCACCTCTACCAGTCAGGTCTGACTGATTGAGAACAATGCACTCTCACTAGGAGGAGCTTCTGAAAACAAATTGGTACGTCGTACATAATGCAATGTGTTACTCAGTCAATGTTTCAATGTTGCATCATATGTTCTTTCATTAACGTGCTTGTTCTACATTTCCATTTCAGCTCAGTAATTGTCGAAGACCGTCGAAGAGAGCTGCCAGGGACCTGCAGAACTACAGACATGGTTATAAAAAAGATAAAGAAGATAGAGGTTATCAGTGTTACTCGGTAAGTCTCTAGATTCTGTCTATCTGGTGGGCTTTGTTATAATGGCAGACTGGACCATTCTGTTGTCGCCTTCATGCTTAGCTAGCTGGGTAAAGTCAGTTGGGTGGGTTGGGATTTCCCCTGCGCTGGGAGATGAGATTACTCCGGCATCATTCAGCCCACATCCTGTGAGCCCAGGCTGAACAAACCCCATAAACTCACAGCACTCATGGACTGAATCATGCTGGCACATCGACACATGAGCACTGCTCCGTTCGGGATGAAGGACCCCTGCCGATGGAGGAGAAAAGGAAGGAGGAAGGACCTTTAACATCACCGGACTAAGCAGAAAACTGCAGGAATAAAGGTATGTATAAAGTTTTTTTTTTCTTTGGGGGGGGGGGCCTTAAGCAGGGGTCGTAGGATGCAGAATTATAAACTATAATCTTTGTTTGGCTGGATTTCCTTTTTTTAAAGTATTGTATCTTTTCTCCTATCAGAGTCAGCCTTCAGAAACACTCAACCTGGACTTTTACCAGGACAAGAAGCGGTTTGAGCCAGAAGGTCAGTACACGACGGATGTATGTTGAGCTCTTGTGCAAAAATTCTTAAAAAAGGGAAAAGCTGGATTCGATACAAGACTTTATCATTGCATATGACAATAGAACATGTATGTATGTGTATCTAGTACGAGTATCGATATTTATATTTTGGTACTCACCGATACTTCCGGTTACATGGAGCCCGCTTCCCGGGCAATCAGGAAGCCGGGCAGCGTGTCATTACCCGCTGCTCAGCTTCCTGATTGGCCGGAAAGCCGACTCCATGCTTATTGGCTGGAAAGCCGACATCCCAGCCAATCAACATTGAGACGGCTTCCTGGCCAATCAGGGAGGCGGGCCGTTACCCGCTCCCAACCTCCTGATTGGCTGGGAAGCCAGTGCCATGCTGTTTGGCCGGTTCGATGCTGATTGGCCGGGAAGCCACCTTCCCAGCCAATCAGGAAGCCGGGAGGTGGGTCATTACCCGCGGCCTGGCTTCCTGATTGGCTGGGAAGCCGGCTTCTCAGCCAATCAGCATCGAGCCGGCCAAACAGTATGGAGCCGGCTTCCCAGCCAATCAGTAAATCTCCCTCTGACCAGATACTTACCCCCTGTATCGTGGGTAAGTATCGGAGCATTTGGACGAATACTCGGTATCGGTACCGATACTAGTATCGTTATTGGTGCATGCCTAATATACATCCTCTATCATAATAGATAATTACTGTCAAAACAGTATAATCCGCCATAAACATTCACAGCTGTTGCACCTACTGCAGTTGTATTGCACTGAAAGTTAGGGCAGCTGTTTGTACAACCTCCTTCTCATCCTTGCCATGCTGACCTCATGTAATATTATTTGGTTGAATGCCATGTGTTTACAGTGACCATTATTTGACCAGATGCCTTGGCATTGGTCACATGATCTTAACTAGAGGGGGGTGGGGGTGTAATTGTACCAGAGTGACACCTTCGCTATGGCTTTGTAGGAGATGACTAACGCTCATAATTTGCGCCTTTGGGAATTATTAAAGGAATGGATTCAAGGCATCGGAGGTTCAGTGTCACCTGTTTGAGATGGGGCTGATTTTGTGTTTTTTGCTGAATGAGGCAGATTTCACCTCTTCTGTGTGTCCCACGCAGGGCTATGCATAGAGCAGCTGCTGACAGACTGGAAGAAAAAGTACGACATTCTGGAGAGGAACCATTCCTATATCCAATGGTATGTACACCTATCATGGGTAGAGACCCTTTAAATGACCTGGAAGTGGCTGTTGGAAGTGCTGACCCTTTTCTGTGGTGCTGGTAGCTGCCAGTCGGGTTCCACTTTTCATTCAGCGTGTGAATTCTGCATGGGAGCATCTGATTGTCTGCAGTGGGCAGTTCAGTGACGTCTCCAGTGCTTTCCTAAATGAGCCCTGGTAGGGTGAATAAAACAAAGCTCCGCCTAGCCCAAAAAATGTGGCTTTTCTTAACCGTTTGACATCCGCGGTGTTAAACCCCCTTCCCATCCAGGCCAACGTGTAAAGTTAGTCAGTGTGCAATGCAGACACATTTCCTTTGTTTTGCTACCTATAAAATGCTGCACGTACAAAAAAATATCTTGTGATCCTGCCAGGAATCCAACGAGCTGCTAGTTTAGGCTGACAGCACTGCCGCGGCCGCACTGAAATCCCAAGCAGTGTTGTCAGCCCTGCCTTGTTCTCCCCTGCTGGCTTTCAGAACACCTTGTTCACTCTTTTTATCTCTAACATTATGGGAAGGTGTTCTGTAGCCCAGATAGCGAGTGAGCAGCCTAGGGTGACAATGCTGTTGCTCAGCAGATGCAGAACGGTGAGGGAGCATTGTTAGTATAGCTTAGGAATGGGTTTTTCCCCCCAGGGGAGTGACCTTCACTTCCTGTTCCCTAAACACTACAGGAAGTGAGAAGAAATCTCTATTAAATAGTGACATCCCTTACTGTGTCCCTTTTAGTCCGCCTTGAATGATTTTGCTTTCTATTCTAATTATTCCTATTTCTGTGTTCTCTTTGCAGGCTCTTTCCTCTTCGGGAATATGGTATGAACTCTTGTGCCAAGCCACTCTCAGAGGCTGAAATTGAGGTACAGAACTTCCGTAAATGTTAAACTCAGCATGACTGCAACCAGTAATTATCTGCAGTGTCTGGCCACAGAGCAGGACACATCTTCAGGTTTCTGCTATGGTGTTGGGCATTAAAGAGAACCAGTCATGTGTGGACATTTTGTGATTATCTGAATCTCATTAAAGGTACACTCCAGGCAGATATAAAACATACAAACAAATGCAGCTCTGCATTCAATAATACACCTTTTAAATGATTATTTTTCAATGCAATGTAAGTAGCTGACTTTGACTCGATTTCAGCTCATCACACCCCTGTCCAGCAGAACTCAGACTGGGGGACTGAGGAGCAGTACAGTGAGCCAGTCAGTTGTGCTAATGTGCTAAAAAGGAACATACTTCTAGGAGAGAGCAGAGAGGTGAGCTCATCAGTCTGCTGCTTCTCCTTAATTGACCAGTCAAAGGCTGCCTAAAGCCTCCCCACCACCACGTTTTTGTAAAAAAAAAGCTTTATATACTTTTGTTCCTTCTGGGTGGTCCAATGACTATAAAGGCCCTTTCTCTTCTTCTGAAGAGAGGTTCTTACTCTTGGACAGAGCAGCACTCATTACAGCCCTGTCTTGGAATGCTTTGAGCTCAGGCCGGCCTGGGGAAGGGCCCCTAGGGGGTGTGACCATAATGGCTTACAGAAAGTGACTTTGGACGTCCTTCACCACAGATGAGAACCAGTGCTGGCTCGGAGACTGGTGAGAATGCATGGGCCAGTGCTGAAAAGGAGGCGAGTAGTGCAGCTAAACCTGTTTGGGCTTTAAGATGCCAGAGAGTCTTGACAAGCTGCCAGTCCGTTAAGCCCAGTGTGGTCAAGTCAGTTTCTTTTGGTGTTCCTTTTAACCAGCTTACTGTGTCCTCCCTCCTTTTTCTAGGCGATGAAGGAAGATGTGGCTGTCCAGAGGAGGTTCCTTGACGCCTACAAACTCATGCTGGATTTTTACGGCATCGAACTGGAAAACGAGAAGACCGGAAAAGTAAAACGAGCAGAGAATTGGGAGACCAGATCCAGGAATCTGAATGAGTAAGTGGCGAGGTTGTGGAGCCATCCTTGTGATGTATGTACAGGTATAGTTTAGCAATTCCTTAACCCGCATCCTCTTGGTCCTTGTCCACAGTCACAGCCACAACAACCTGCGGATCACGCGCATACTGAAGTGTTTGGGGGAGCTGGGGTTTGAGCACTACCAGGCCCCTCTGGTAAAGTTCTTCCTGCGGGAGACGTTGTGTAACGACAAAATACAGAATGTAAAAAGAAGCGCTCTGGACTACTTCATGTTCACCGTCAAGAACAAGAGCGAGCGACGAAAGCTAGTGCATTTTGCCTGGAAGAACTACAAGCCAGGGAGGTTCCTCTGGGGTCCTGTGGAGAAGCTCCGGACCTACCAACCACCAGCAGAGAATGAGCATGAAACGAAGAGCTGCCAGAAAGAAAAGAAGGATGAAAGCGATGAAGAAGGCAAAATGAACGGACAGTCCGTCATCTGTAAGAACAAGTCTGACAAGGAAGGGTTTCGGGATCGTTCTGACTCCTCGAGTAGAAAAATCATGGTGTGCAAACAAAACTCTCCTAAGTCTAATAAGAAACCCGATGAAGAGCTCATACTACTTAAGAACAGAGTTAAGTTTAATGAAGACTCACGTGGGAATTTTCCAGATGAGGATTCCAGCAGGTGTTCTGAGGCAGTGTCTGATAACGAAGGTTCTTCAAGTTGGGATATGAACGGGGAGCAGCTTCCTACAGAAGGAGAGAAAAAGTCATATGGAGAGGAATCAAATCGGGTTTCTAAAGAAGTGTCACCAAAGCATGACGATAAAGTGCCTTCAGCAGTAGGACACCAAGATGAAGGCAAGGCAGAAGGGCATGTTATGGATGGAACAGTCTCTAGGAATCAAAGCGAGAGCCTTCAGCAAGATAAAATGCCAAACGTACAAATAGGAACACCAAGGAAAAGAAAGATGGAAAATGGTCTTTCTGATAGGAAAGAGACTCCTGATAGAGGTCCACCACAGCCTGCTGACAACTCTGAGCTGCCCAAGGAAGGAGGAGAAGGAGTGCGTATAGTGGATGACAAAGTGAAAAAACTTAAACTGAGCGAGCAGCCAGGTGCTGAGAGAAATCCAAAGGTGGCGAACGACCCACTAAGCAGCACCGCAGGCACAGATCCCCAACAGTCTGGTGATGGGTCTGATATAAATCAAGAAGAAGGGGGATGTAGCCAATTGGAGATGGAGGAAGCCAAAAAGGAAATGCCAAAACTGCATGAGCAGTCATATAAAAATAACAATGAAAAGGAGGAAGATGGCCCAACAGTGAGAGGCGCTAGTGGAGATCCTAAATAGTCTGAAGCTGAATCTGGTCTAAACCGGGAAGGAGCAGGAGGATGTGGATTAGGTAGTTCGGAAGCCAAAGTGAAAAACCACTCAACCTGCAGGGGCGGCTAAATCCCGAGAATAGCTTAAAGGTGGCAAAAAGCCTGCAGGTTCGTCAAAGTTTATCAAATGTGGACTTGCAGGACCTTCTCAAAGGTCATCCATCTCCGCTAAAGCCCAAATGGGCTTCTTCAATGGCGGCACTGGTAAATGGCAGTCAGTAAAGATCTCTTGTCGATGTATCTGTGATGATCCCAAGCTGTGGAAGATATCAAAGCTACGGGACTTTTCATAATCACGATCTTGTCTTTGGTGTGTAGGTTGGACGACAAAGACCGTCCAAGCATCAAGCCTGACATCTCACAGTTCCTGCGGCCTTAACTCCACCACAAGCCGGAAAACCCCAGATGCATTTTGAATGTAACCGTCTTCTTAAAAGCTCGGCTGTCACTGTCACTCCGGATTTTTCCTCTAAACTGGTGCTACGGGACCTTTTCTGATCCTCTCGGGGTTTGCTTGTTTTTTTTCCCCTGCCATAAATGTTTCTCTATTATTTAAAGAAAATCTTTCTAACTGGATAGTTGTGTGACGTGTTAGGTCGTCCTTGGCTAAGAAAATGGTTTGTGACGGTTCCTTTTCTTTTTTTTTCTTTTTCTGAAAACTTGACATCTTGTTTGTAAAATTGATGACCTGAGAACAACAAGCTTTGGTTCAAAGTAGACCGGCTTGTCAGATGTTCCTTTTATTTGATGTGGGTTGATGCTTGTGGGGTACACCACCCAGTGGTGGCACATCTTTGGAGACTTCGGAAGCAGGATCTCTTCATCGAAGTTCTCAGCTCAGGTCCATGGAGTTGCCATGGAGTCTACTTGCTCTTCCTGCATTCCCCAACATGTATGTTGAAAAAAGAAAATGGGGCACACTTCCCATGGCACGGCTAATGTGCAGTTCTGGGCACTTGGGTGCAGAGATCTCCTCCGGGGAGCTTGGAGAAGTAAACGGGTGATTTACCTTGCTAGCATCTGTGGATAATGTGAAGTTAATTTTGGGCAGACTGCTCCTTCTAAAGGTTACGTCCCCTCAAATCTATCCTCATAAGGGTGGGCGACAGCATCTGCTTTTACTATCCTCACTAATTTAGAATTTCACACGTCCTTCCTAAATTGGGGGGCAAATCTTTTCATTGCTGTTTCAGGACAGCAAGTTAGCAGGCCACCCCATACTTCCAATGAGAACTTCTTGGGTGAGGAACCTGCTTTGAAAAAAGGAAATCCTCGAGGCTCATTCACATGGGGTCTGTGTGGTATAAAACAACGGCAGATCTTTGGGCCTAGGAACCATGGGTTTTGCGTACAGATCAATGGCAGGCTGTGGTGGCATAATGCTGCTCGCAGTGTATGCTTGCGCACGATACGGATGTACGTCCTTTGATGCAGACTGCCCATGTCAAGGGGCGTACATATTGTGTGGAAATACCACGGTGGAATTTGGTGTTATGATCACCCAGAGGGGCTGAGAGGTGTCAAGAAGCAAGGGAAAGCGCTTGCTTTTCAGTTCTTTATGGAATTTTTTTGGGGACCATGGAACGGAGAGGTTTCAAATTGATTCGGGAGGCAAGCAAGCGCCATTCCTGGGTCCAGCGTTTAGCAGTGACCAGCACAGCCCTTAAGGAAAGGGTCCTGGCTAAGGTTCAGGGCTCCTCCTGACTTCGGAACACCGTCTGTTCCTGTTTTCCAGTAGGAGCCCTAAACCCTAGCCAGGTAGCCGGGACCCTTTGCTTAAGGCAGGGGTGGGGTACCTCTGGCCCTCCACCTATGGGATTCACAGTTTCACCATGAGGCATTGTAAGATTCTCACAGCCACAGGCAGGACTCCCAGAGAAAGATGCATCATGGGCTTTGTAGTTTCACCACAGCTGGAGGTTTCCCACCCATGCCTTAAGGAAAGGTGCTGGCTAGGATTCAGGGCTCCTGCCGGGAAACAGGAACAGACGGTGTTCCGGAGTCTGGAGAGGCCCTGAACCCTAGCCAGCACCCGTTCCTTTAAGGGCTATGCACAGCTGTGTAATCATTGGGTGCTGGTCACTGCTAAACACTGGATCCAGGACTAGACCTCCCGGTTCTAGGATCTCAGGCAGAATCCATAAAGGACTGAAAAGCCCCCTCTTTCCCTGGAAAAAAAACCCTTGCTTCTTGACACCTCTCAGCCCCCCTGAGTGATCATAACACCCACTTTCACTGTGGGCTTACCACCCAATACCACAACATGTACCTGCTTGGAGCATCATTTACCATTATACAAGCACAGCCTGCCATTGGTTTTTACAGGCAGGCTTTACGCAGCACCCATGGCTCCCGTGCACAGAGTTTCAGATGGCCTGCGTACCCGTGTGAAAGATCCCCTAAACATTCACCCTACTCGAGCACTGCGGATGGACATGACAGATCGGTCTGTGGTCCAGCTTCCACCCAAGCCCAAGCAATTTATTCGGAGTGGACGTAACCTTTATGCTTTTGTTTACACTTGAATGGGATTCCGTCATGAGGGTTTATTCCTCATCTGTATATTGGACAGTTGTTAAATACATTCATTTTTCATGGTGGGAGGGGGCGGGGGTATTTGACCTTTTATATGTAAAAGGGAAAAAACAAAAAACTGCCTCTGATAATTGCAGACATTTGTATAAATATGACTTGTCGAAAGTATGTTTTTGTTTTATTTGTTTGTAAACTAAAAAAAAACAAAAAGTTCAATTACTCCCCCCCCCCCCCC